CAGCGCGCAGGAAAAACCACCGAGGGAGAGAGGCGCCGAGTCTCCACCGCCGCTGCCACTCCAGCGGCCGCGGAGCCTGAGCCGGCGCCGCCTCCCTCGGCCGCGGCTACAAGCCTCGGGGTGGGGCGCCGGGCGGACAAGCCCAGAGGCGGGTCCTTCACGCGCCGGGTACGCCCCCGCCTGGGCTTTAAAGGCGCCGCGTCCCGCAGCCACCCCGGGGCGGGGCGGGGCGGCCCTGTGGGGCGAGGTGAAGCACCGCATGGTCTGCCCGCTCACAGCCGGTGATTTCCTTTCCCTACACGATCAGGATGACATTGGATGATTACGCCCCCTGCTTCCGTGGGCCTCACTCAAACCGTGGAGATGGGGAGAACTGTCCTTCCTGGGGTACAGATGGAACCACCAGGGCAGGACACAGCGCAGTAACTGTGAACCCCTAGGGATATGGTCAGTCTGCCGGTGACAGATGACAAGAAGTGAATGAGGCCTGAGACTGAGGCCCCTTACTGCCCACCCCACCCACTGTACACCCCCAGGTTGGGAAGGTGTTTTTGAGGGGCTGGGTTGTGGGGCTCCCTAGGGTCCCAGAGCACCTCAGTCCTCCCACTTCTGCTCAGCCAGATACCCTCCATGGCCCCTGGGTAGCTCTGCGGGTGAAACCCAAGGGCATCCAGCACACCACCCAAGGGGCCCTGCTCTGGTTTGGGCCTCACGTTGAGACTGCTGTCCCCACTCCTTTGCCCACCTCCCATCTGCCCTCACCCGCTAGGAGTATCTGGAAGACTCAGGCTCAGATTCCACGTGTGTGCTCAGCACAAGTTCAGTCCCCCTAGCAGCTGCTCAGGGATGCTTAGAGGATGAATGACTAAGGGAGTGACCTGCAGGAGGGCTGGGAGACTGACTGAGGACTTATGGAAAGCCAAGCAGCCCCACGCCAGGCATTTTAAACTCTCATAGTCCTACAAGGAACTCTGAGCCCATTTTACAGATGAGAAGTTGAGGCTCAGAAAACTCAAGCTATTTGCCCTAGATTATAGAACTCACAAGGGTCAGGGTTGGCATTCAGGCTCTTCCACTGCATGAGGCTGCCTGTCCCCACCAGAGGAAGGGCTCCTGCCCAGCCGGCCCAGCTCACCCTTCTGTAGAGCCTGGCATGTGGTGGGGGCTCAGAAGGAGTCAGGGCAGTGGCTGTAATTAGTGCTCACGCCCTCTAAGAGCTGAGCTAGAATGAGGAAGGGGGAAGGAAAGGAAGATGCTCTGTTGCAGGCGTGCACCCAGCCTCTTGTTCTTCACAGGACACGAGAAACTGGGCATCCAAGGAGATGCAGCCAGCACTGTGCCCAGTGCATAGTATATGCTCGGCTCCCCTGAGCCATGAGAGGTGCTGCTGCAAGATACTGAACTTCCCCAGGAGGTAGCGCAGGAGGGAGCTACCTTTGGGAAAAGGCTGTGACTTTGATCACCTGGTCAAGGAGAACAGAGGTTCATTGCCAAAATGCCAGTGGCCGTTTCCCATTACACAGGGTGACAGCTCTTGCTCATGGAGATGAGATGGCAGCAGAAACCCTTCAAGGCATAACTTCCCCACTTGCCTCTCATTTCCTGCCAACCCTCCCCCCCATTCCAACTCCTCCCGGGAAACAACATGCCACCTCTGTCTTGCCTCCAACCCCCCCCTCTTCCCCCAGCTCAGAGGCCCTTCTCTGCTGCTCTGGCTGCCCAGCACCACCTCCTAAGGGCAGCCCTCTGTCCTGGAGGGAGTGGAGGCTCTGCTCTGTGGGCCCAGGATCCTTGCCCACCCACGGTCCGCCTACTTGTGCACTCACATACGCCATCCATTCCCCCTCTGCTTCAATTCTAGCAGCTGCTCAAGGCCAAGGGGACATTTTATTTTTCTCTGTATCTTGCCCTGAGGAGGTACAGTTGCATGGATGACAGTGGAGCATGACCCTGCCTCCTGAGCCCCTACATGATGGTGTTGGTGGGAGGAGGGGGCTCCAGAGCTGTCCCCTTTGCTGGCAGCCAGAGTGGGAAGCTCAGACTGGTGGAGGCTTCCCATTGTTCAGACTGGCTTGGGAACCAGGTTTTTTATGCCCCAACCCCCCCAGTCCCCTTACCACCCCCTCCCCCCTTGAGGGTGTAGAGGAATCAGGGGCCCTTCCTCTGGCAGTGTAATGGGGAGGGTGCCCCAGGAGCCAGGGGATGCCAGGCCTGTCACCATGGTAACAGCTGCTCTTGGGAAGCCAGAGGTGGGGAGGGGTTATGGAACAGCCCCTCCCCCATACAGATGCTGCCTGGGAGAGAAGAGGCCTCTTGGGCCGCCTGCCCACCCACCCGGCTTTGTCACTCGATCCCCCTCTTTACAAAGGTGGAACAATACCCCAGGCGCTCACTGAAAGGGAGACTATGAGGAGGACCGGAGGGGACTGGGAAGAGGGAGATTACCATCAACGCCCACCCCGTTTCTGCTCTACTGGGCAGAAGGGGCCGGAGGGGCAGGCGCGGTGGGAATGGAGTCCCTTTCCTGGGGGAGACACCTCCCTTCCTGGGGCCCTTGGCTGTGAGCCAAGTTGCCCTGCATAAGTGGGAAGGGACACCTTCCTGACCTCTGTCCCCCTCCCACCACTCCGGTCTCCCCGAAGTCCCCACTCCTGAGGCCCTTCCTACCACATCCTCCCTGACTGTAGCCACCACTCCCCTCCACTGGGCAGATGCTGGTCCTTCCTTCCCAAACTCAGCTCTGATCTTGCCATTTACAGGACAACCCCCACCTGGTGCCCGCCTCTGTGCCCTGCACCCACCACACCTGTGCCCGTCTCCCCACAGCCCTGGGAGTTCCTGGGTAGCTTGTCACGTGGCCTGGAAAGAGACTCTCATAAATTTCTGAAAAGAATGTCATGAGGAGGGGCCATAGATCCTTTCTGGAAGAGGCTGACTACAAGTGGGGCCTGAGATTAGGAAAGGGATGTCGATTGGACTCTTGGGGACAGAGGTGTCTGTGAATAAACAGGAACTAGAAGGAGGACCGGTCCTGTATTTCTTCCAGGTGCTCTGGACAGCCCTCAGGAGGCACAATTGGTGATGGAGGACCCAGCAGGTACGTGGACACACCTGCTCCTGGGCAGGGGCGGGGTGTGGAGTGTCACTGCAGCCTGGGCAGACAGAGGTGAGCTTCGGCTGTGTGTGTGCTGTGTATGGGGCATGAAGGGTGAACTAAGTGTGTGCGTGCACCCAAGGACATGCAGGGGCCTGGTTATTCCTGTGTGTGCCTGCCCATGCCCTGGCAGGGCTGGGTAAGACCCTCAGGCGGGCCTCAGGGAATGAGCCCACCTCCCTGAAGCTGGAGCCCTGGCACTCAATCAGTTTCCCTTTAAGGAGATGTCAAGGGCTGGACTAGACTGTTCCGTTTTTACTAAAGAAGTGTTTTAAAAATTCCTTCTAAGGGCTTTACACTTTTCACAACTAATTCAACATTAGAGATGAGCAGAGAAATAACACAATCATTTCTTCCTCTTCTTACATACAATCCCAGCATTCAGCTAATCAATATAGAGTTCAGACATCTCATCCGGGCTGGGGGCCCAGTGGTTGGAGCGTTGTCCTATATACATTAACAGGTTGCAGGTTTGACCCCAGGTCAGGGTGCCTACGGGAGGCAACCGATCGATGTCTCTTTCTCACATCGATGTCTCTCCTTCTCTAAAATCAATAAACATATATCTTTGGGTGAGGATGTACAATAGTTCAGGTATCTCTTTTGATACTTCTGTCTAGACTTTACTAACACTTGTGCTAAAGTGGAATTAATATAGTACATTTCATGCCTCATTTTTTTCACCTAATAATCTATCATGAATCAATGGATGAATATATGGTAAAAATAAGTAAAATGTTAATGGTAGAATGTAGGTGGTGGACATTCAGGTGCTCACTATAAATTTTGTTAAACTTTTCTGTATATTTAAAGTTTTTCATAATAAAAGTATTTTTAAATTACTATCATAAATGTCTTTCCTTTTCAACACACACAGGGCCCAACCATTTTTTAAAAATAGTCACTCTTGCCGAGACCGGTTTGGCCCAGTGGATAAAGCGTCGGCCTGCGGACTGAAAGGTCCCAGGTTCGATTCCGGTCAAGGGCATGTACCTGGGTTGCAGGCACATCCCCAGTAGGAGGTGTGCAGGAGGCAGCTGATCGATGTTTCTAACTCTCTATCTCTCTCCCTTCCTCT